CATAATACCCCTTCCTTAAAGAAGACCCTTGTCCTTAAGGGTGAAAGTCTGGATATTTTCTTAAAAGATCATAGTAAAATTCCCAAGTGGCTTGTTCCCACTACAAAAACTATAACGGCCCAAATTTTGTAATATTATTTGATTATTAATATAAGGGCATATGAGAATTTTCATGTGTTATGTACTTGATATATATATATATATATATATATATATATATATATATATATGCGTTGTAACGAGAATATACATATATGTGATGATGTAGGATGGTATGAGCATGTGTACTGATTATAGTAGAACTAGAATTATTGTAGACGATTGGAATTGGACTGAAATTTTATCTAAGTGTCTGATGCAGGGTGTTCTCACTGTAGCGAGAGGGCCCTTGGAGAAAGCCGTGAAACTGTTGCCTTCTCGCTGTAGCAAGAAAGCGACAATTTGGGGTGCATTTCTGGGTGCAGTCTCGCTGTAACAAGATTCTGCAGAAACCAAGGTGCAGTTTTTTCTGAGATTTTTGCTGTAGCGAGAGAGGGTGTCGTGACCAGAAAAGGATTTAAAGGGGTTTAGGGAATCCCATTTCTCATATCTCCCTTCGATATTTCTTTGATTCTCTCACTCCCAAGCCCCATTTCACTGATTAAATTGCCTCCAAAGCCGTTTAAAAAAAATTAAAAAAAATTAAAAATTATTTCAAAAATGTTAAATTAAAATGTCATTACAATTCAAGAAGTAAACATTCAAAGTAATAATGTGAAAAATAAAATAACAATATCTATCATGAGTGGTCAGTGTGATCATCATCAAGAGTAATGTCATCATCATTAGTAGAGGAGAAAAAGGATGAATGTTGTTTATCAACACAATTACTGGTGGTGCTGAAATTGGTGAAAAAGGAGGAAAAAGTGTGGAACTGCTCGCTCTTATGAGCTCAAAGTATGCATGCATCTATTATTATGCTACAGTTGCATCTGCTACTACACTTCTCTCTATATCCTTGATGCTACCTTTTTCTCTATCTTCTCCATTTTCTTGGTCCACTTCTTCTTGTTGTACTCTCCTTAGTCTTCCACATCTCATTTTGTTTATGGAGTTCTTCATTAAAAGCATGAACTTGAATGCAAATCATGTTCTCTACCACCTCAAGTGCAAGAGAAGCGGCATCCCTAGTGACAAATATAGGGACATTTGAGTCTGTAAAACGGCTCTTTATGCCATAAATGAGGCCTTTATAAAGGCCGCCCACCGCCTTTGACCACATTGCGTCTTTATTAATGGACTCTGGGTTCTCAGTAGATGTAACCTCTAGCCTTTGAACATATTCATCCTTCAATTTAGTGAAGATAATTATATATTAGTCTCAAGAAATATTTTTTAAATATTTAATAAAAATACAATGTTAGTAACTATACTTACATATGTAGCTTGAGATTGTGGATTAACCCGCTCGATTTTGTCTCTCTTGTGAGTGTGTGTCTCCTTGAACACCTCTCCATGCATAGGTGGTCTGTTTAGTGACTTCTTCTACAATTCCAATTAATAAACCTCTCAAATTCAATTGATAAATTAAATAACATAAAATTTAAAGTAAAATTGGAAATCACTAAGTAAGTTGGCCTTAGTGCTAACTAAAGTTGTAAAGCCACTAGTATGCAGGGATCCCTTTTTATTGGATGCCTTGTTTGTCTTGTTCTTTAAAAAGAGATTTTTAAACTCATTCATACACCAATCCTCCTGCAAGACATAAAGGAAGTGAACTGCTATCCAATTTGTAGATGATGGGTTCTGACGAGCCTCAATGTAACATCTATCTTAGTCATTTTGACGTGCGACTCTTCCAAGTCTTGAAAATAATCTTCTCATCTTGGGAGGGGGATGGAGAAGTTGCTCTATATACATAAAAATTAATTAATATAGGTACAAGAAATAGAGATCTAATCAGACTTAAAATAAATTAATTGACTTTTATTACCTTCCAATCTTTGAATCACTTCACCTTTGTATCCTTAAGCACCTTAGCAAAACTAGTATAAGGCATATCATACATCTTTTTAATGGTATCTGTTACCTGGTGAATACCTTTCTGTGGTGGATATCAACTAAACACATAATAAAATAACACAATCATGATAATGTTTAAACAAATAAAGTTTTGCGCCATATTTTGTTGATAACTTACCAAGTTGATCCAACCCATCTCAAACTTGAAAAGTGGTCTCAATGGTGTCTAGGTCTATGACTATTGCCCATAAGAAGATGCAACAACAATGGATCCCTCGCCTGTGTGCTATGTAGAGGGGGATAGTGAGGCAGATGTAGTTGGTGGTGCAGATTGTGAAACCCATTGTATTAGAGGGAAAAGAGACATATACCCAAAGTTGAGCACCATGATGAACTGCTCCTGCCACCTAACCTGAGAGGTTTGCATTGCAATTGGTGTAGAGGTGGAAGAGAGAGTGGTTGATGGAGGAGTGTTGCCACATGTAGGACGCTGAGCAACACCTTTCTTACATTTACCTACAATACTTTAATCAAACCTAATACAAGCACATAATATTATATAAACATTTTTTAATTTACATTACACAAATTTGTAATTTAAATTTCAGCAGAATCTCCCCTAATGTATGAACATTTTCTTAATTATGCATGTTAACACCTAATACAAAAAAATAAGCATTTCATTCACACATAACACAATACTGTATAAATATCTTATAGTTTACATTACACAAATTTCTAATATAAATTTCAGTAGAATCTCCCCTGATATATGAATATTTCCTTAATTACATATATTAACCCCTAATACAAAAAAATAAGCATTTCCATCACACATACTCTAAATATTATATAAAAATATATTAATAAATAAATTATAAACATGCACATCATAATCCTAAAATTGTTTTAGAGCATATCCTCTTATAGCTCTATAACATGCATATTCTATAATCTTCGTAAACACAAATAGTCCTATAACAAATAGTAATCAAGTTTGGAAAAGGAGTTCTGATGACTTATATTTTGTACTCACATTTATAGTCTTATTGCATCTTCTAAAATACCTTTTATTTCCTTATTTATTTCATTTAGCATGTTTTTGCAATTTTCACAATAAATAGGAGTTTTTGTAAATACTTACGATTTTTACCTTGTATTTCATATTTCTTTTATTTTGATCTTTGTCTACTATTTTGACCATAACTTTTTTTGTAGATATCCTCTTTGGCTGATTCTTTTTGCAATGAATTCTTGACTTCTTTGGCTTCAATTTGGACATATGGAACATGTTGTTTGGAGTCTGGAGCTATTTTTAATTAATTTTAGTAGTTCAGGCTTAAAACATAGCTTTTGTATTTAAGATTTTTAGTGTAATTATTTGCGGTTCAGCCTTGACCTATTTATTTTTCCTTTCATTCAAGACCATTATTTATAGGGGTAAAAAGGCTGACTTTGGGAGACAGATTTTCACATTTTGATTTTTGTAAAATTTTTCCCGCTTCTAGAGAACAACATTTTTTTACCTTCTCCTTGCCATTTACATTCCAATACGATTCTGCAACGTCAAATATGATTTTTCAACATTTGATGTTCATTCTTTTCTAGTACTTCTATCACAACTACATGGTTGAATTCTTGAATTGCATAATTTCAAGTATGGATTGCAAGATCAATTGATTGCTTTGAGTTTGTCCTTTCATCTTAATTGCATTTCTTGATAAAGATTTGTGTATGTGCATGTATAATTTGATTGAGTTCTACTTCCATTCTTGAGTGTAAGATAAATCGATTGATTAATTGATTTCTTTTGCATTCAAGATTTATGCAAATTCAGTATAAACATTTCTAGTTTGTGTTCTTGCTTTCCTAGATATTAACTGTGGTTGTGATTCTCAGTTTCAATTTTGGATTCAATTTTAATTGTCATTTTTAATTCAATTGTCGTTTTCATCGTTGATTTCAATTTACTGTATTTCAATTTATGTTACTACATTTCAATTATTATTGCATTTTAATTGTTGTTTCCAATTTACGTTTCTGTTTAATTCTCAAAAACTATAAAATCCCCCAACTTAATTGTTGTTGCATGATTAAAAATTGGAAAGAAAATGAACTTGTGTCCCTGTGAGATGACCTAGTGTTAAGTGCTAGAAATTCATGTTTTATCATGAATTTGCACTCTTTTTAGGTTAAAATGTAAATAATCCTGGGCATATTAATCCCCCAAGTAGGTAAATTAATCTAATTCAAGAAGTCACAAGAGTGGTTGTCGAGGATTTGGCACAAATATTTAGTAATTTTCATTCTTGTTAATTCTTGTGAATAGCTAATCTTGTGAATACTTATATTATATATAGTTGTTTCGTTTCTTGGATTCACCCTTCTGTTAAGATTTCTTGTATGCAAGGAAAAACTCCAGCCTAAGAATTACAATTTGATCCTGAGATTGAGAGAACGGTAAGGAGAAACAATAGTAGAACAAGAAAGCTCAAACAGTTGAAGAGACTTCAAAAACAACGAGTTATTTGTTCCATCTTCTTCAACTTCTTCCAATCAACCTTTTCTTGAGTTAGAAATGGCTGAAGAAGGATAAGGTAATCACAATGGTGGAGCTAGACCAATAAGACCTCCTAGAAGGACCTTAGGAGATTATGCTTAACAATAAGGCCCAAGGTATTTTTCTAGCATTGCAGCCCCAAATACCTCAAGAGCTATGGAGATGAAGCCAATTTTTCTCAGCTTAGTTAGCTCACAACAGTTTGTTGGACTTGACCATAAAGATCCATATTCTCATCTAGCTAATTTTTATGAGCTTTGTGGTACAATGGGTATTCCGGAAGGCGATGAAGAAGTTGTCTATTTGAGATTGTTTCCATTTTCTCTTACTGGAAAAGCTGAAATATGGTTATAGTCTAATCCAAACCAGAGTTTGACTAGTTAGAGTGATGTGGAGAATAAATTTGTTAACAGATTCTATCCTTCATCCAAATATATTAAGGCAAAATAAGAGATTACTACTTTCAGGCAAGGCATAGATGAACCATTTTGTGAGGCCTGAGAGAGGTTCAAGTCTTTACTCAGAAAATGTCCTAACCATGGGTTTAAAGACATTGCACAACTTAATTTCTTTTACAATGGGATCAAACCTGAGGTGAAGATGTTATTGGATGCAGTGGCTGGGGGTACTATGATGTCTGTAGGTCCAGACGAAGCTACTCAAATTATAGAATCCCTAACATCTCCCGATCAACAAGCTCAACATGGAAGACACTAATCTCAAAGAAGAAGAGTTATAGACTTGAGCACAAATGATGCAATTCTGGCTCAAAACAAGTTGTTATCTCAACAGATTGAGGCCTTGACAAAACACAGCCAAAATACCACCACAACTCCATGCTATAAATTTTCCTCATGCTCAATCAAACCCTCCACTTAGGTGTGATTTTTGTGGAGGAGATCACCCAAATGGTTTCTATGCAGAAACTCCTCAAGAAGAGGAAGTTAACTACATGGGAAATCAATCAAGAGGAGATAAATTTAATTCCCACAATTATAATGCTAACAATTTCATGCAAGGAAATCAAGGCTGGAGGAATAATGCCAACACCAATCAAGGCTATGGATGAGGAAATGAAGCTAGTACTGTAACACCCCGAATTTTGTATTATTGATTATTGTTATATATCTATCTATATGTATAAATGTAAATAGATGTTGGAATTTGCACTTGAGTGCGTGATGATGATGTTAATGTGTATAAATGCATATGGATGCGTATAAACGTATTCATATATGATTGGATTGGATTGAATAGACTAAGAAACAGGTTAAGGGTGTAATACTGAGACGTTCTCGCTGCAGCGAGATCTCGCTGCAGCGAGATTCTGCAGAAATCAGAGTGCAGTTTCTGCTGAAATTTACACTGTAGAGACAAGGGGCGTCGCTGCAACGAGAGTGTCGCAACCTGAGGGGTATTTGAAGGGGTTAGGGTTTGAAAAATTCATTTCCCATTCCTTTTTTCAAAATCTTTTCGATTCTCTCGACCCAAAACCCTATTTCATCGATTCTCTTTCACATTATTGTTTTTTTGCACTAGTTTTAATAGAAGTTTTCCTTATACAGGCTTTTATTAGGTAAACTGAAGGGATGCTCCAAAAATTTAATTTTGAACATATGTTCTAAAATACTGCACTATAGGACCACACTCCAGTTCTTGAACATATTCTTTTCACATTATTGTTAAGGATTTAGATAAGTGATTCAATTGGAAGTTATTCCTATAATTTTACTAAATAAATTTCAAGTAGAATAAAAGGGTCTCATAGAGGAAATAAATAGGCTTTAAATTTGTTCAGAGGTAGCTCCAGAATTATGTTTCAAGTAGAATAAAAGGGTCTCATAGAGGAAATAAATAGGCTTTAAATTTGTTCAGAGGTAGCTCCAGAATTATGTTTCCACTCATAAATACGTACACTCATTTGATTTTAAACCATGCAGTCTCCTCGTCAAAACTAGGGTGAGCATAATACATACATACATACATACATATATATATATATATATATATATATATATATATATATACTTTTATTTTCTTAAAAGTCCTAACAATAAGTGAGGTGAGTTTCCTTCCGCACACTTCATTGCAGGGTATTGAAAGTAATTAAACCAATTCATACCTTGAGTAAATGTTTAAGTATATTTTCAGCCAGAAATTATTCAGGGAGATGATAACACAAAAATAAACAAAATTTGTTTTACACCTATAGAAAAAAGTATCTAGTGGTTATCTATTTGCACAGTGTGCTTAAGTACACACATTTGAAGTGAATATTAAAATTAATATTACTAGAAGAAAGATGACAGAAAAATAATTTACTAAATTTTAAAAAATTTCTCAGTATTTCAAGCAAAATTAAATCAATTATATGTTTAAAGATGTATGTTGACCTGGACTAATAATTCACATTTTTTAAGAAATCAAGGTTAAAAATTTAAGGTATTACAGGAAATGCTCGAAGAAGGGTTATGCACACCCTTTCTCTCTAAAGAACTCCTAAAATCTCTAAAACCCTAAACTCCTGTTTATTTTAGCCTATCTGCATGCTTAGAAACCCTAACAATTGCTCTTTATCTTAAAATTCTCTTTTTTTTACTTTCTATGCAACAAACACAAACTCAGTATGGTCGTGTATGACCAAAGATACAGTATTAAAATATTACAAATAAAATAAACTCCTTTCTCTTCACTAACAATATTAGAATATTACTAATAAAATATAAAGTCTCCTCAATCAATCATTCTACCCATTTTTAAAACTAAAGTTACAATAAATAAATTTTATTGAGTACAACTAAAATTGTAAAAAAAATTAATCTCTTGTTAAATACATTTTAGATAGCTTTTGATAGTAAATGATACAATCTTATTTTCTTTTTAGCTTAATAAAAGATTCAAAGAAGTATTATTGATAAATTGGTTCAAGCTTTATAAAACAATATCTTTCTACATTCGTTAAAATAATTAGTGCATTTGTCACATTTGTATACATCTATAAAACAAATAATTCAGAAGTAATGTATCATTTTAACTTGAGTTAGGTCTAGGCAATAAAGGAAAGTGAGGTAGATAATGATTTTTTAAAAATTCACAATTAATATAATCCAAAAAGAATTAAAAAAGAACGATTAAATCGAGGACATAAGCAAAGTATCCATCCAACATGATACATGTGCGACACCAGAATGACATGTAACATGTGGGATCAACTATGCAGAGGAAAAATTCACAATTCCCTGGGAAGGTTATTTGTTTATATTCAATGGAAAGTGGAAACATTTAGACAAAATGTTGGGTTGGATATTCGTGTTCGTATCCATTGTAATCATAGTACAACCTTTCCCCCTTCGTAATATCTCTATTAGCGATTAAAAGAACCCGACATTCACCTCCCACGTCAAACCTCACGCATTTTAAGTTCTGCTTCTTTTTCCCTTCTCTACACCAAAAACAAGAGGCTTCATCAAACAACCTAGTTACTTCAATGGAAAAGAAATTGTTTGAAAAGGAAGAAACTTACGGCGTGTGATTATTGATGCCGTTAATGAAACGTGCTATGTTGCTACGTTTATCTGGACAGATAACAAGCGTTCGTGAAGGATCAGAAGCTGAAAGAAGTGTCATTATGCTATCTCCATCATCATTTTCCCTATTCTTTAAAAAGTCTACATCTCCAACGTATTCTGTTATTATTGTCAAATCTTTTATGAATCTATCTGCTTCTACAGTAAACCTGCAGAAAGAGAAAATCAAAACTCAACCTCTTCTCAATGCAAACGGAGAGAAAAACAATGCCAATTTATGCAGCTGCATATACATACCCTTCTAGAGGATCATAAACAACCATGAGGGGTGGCCATGCTCCTTTTTCCATCATACTTCTGCATAAGTTTAAGGTCTCCGTGTCTTCTTTCGACAAGACCTGTGTCAATTTAGATGGATAAAGAGAAGAGAAAGAAGAAATTCCCTCTGATGCTAAATGCACATGGCACATTCTTATTTTTCCGTTGCACCATTCTATAAAAGGCTTGGGAATTGTGAAATAAATTAATTCTTGTAAAGCTGTGTGCGCCGGCAACAAGATAAAGTGGGATGCATTGCACAACCAAATGATGACCAGTGCAGAAGAATAAACTATAGATCAAAAGGAGAATGCATTTGAAAATAAAATGAAGCATTGTATTTACTAACGATGATAATTTCACACTGGATTCGAGTCATTCGATTTACGTTGTACACTGTAGCCAATTTGGTTTATCTTCGTTCTTAAGCATCAACCATTAGTACTATAATATACCGTTGAACCAAAGTCCTACATTAAACATAAGTGTGGGAACCTAAGATGTTTTGCTTCTGGGTTCCAAGATAACAAAACAAAAGCGCAAAAACAGAGGCTATTTTTCTCTCTAATATGCTTTCATGTTTTGACCCTGCTTTCTCTACCTAAACATTCACATTTTGGTGATCCTTTAATGAGAAAGAGAATAAAAGTTGTGATTTTATGCAAGTCAGAAACCGAATGTTTGAGCCTATAATAATTAAGTGCAGTGAGAAGAAAAAATGGTGCATTATATTGTTATCCCGGGTTGACAAAGGGGAGAAACTCAATTTAACTACTGGTAATGAAGTCAAAATCATACCTCTGTTCATTCACTTTCCCTTATTTCAAATAATTCTCATAATTTGACTAACTATAGTTCGAAGGGTTGATTATAAGAACAGAAGTCGTATGCAGTTTCTTAAGTACAATAATATGGACATTTGCGGTCCACCCATAAATCCAATTTTAATTAGAGAAAAACACAAAAAGTGTTCTGATTATAAAATAAACTTTGCTGTGAACAATTCTTCACAAATAGTTTATGGAATTGACAAAAACAAGAATGGATTAATTAATTAAATACCTGCATTCCACCATGCTCGAGAGCAGGAGAATTAGCAGACCTCGGAGCCATTCCAGGCATATAAGTAAGATCGTTGCTGAATTCCGTTTTAGTTGCAGTGAGCGCCGTTGCCAGCGATGCCATCTGTTCCAATCTCCGTTTGGAATCCTCACTCGGTGTGAAAGGAAGCAGCTTCCTCTTCTTCTTCGACACCACTAAGCTACCACCACGTTTTCGCTTCTTCCGCGATTCTGAAACCACATGCATTTGAATTCCCACATCCATTTCTATCACTCAATAGCCAATTCACCTTCAATTATAAGGGATTCAACTTACCATGATTGGATATCTGAGGAGCATCCGAGGAGCGTCGAATTCGGAAGAAGTCAATGATTTTGGTCTGGACGAGAGGAAAAGCTGCAAATTGGGAGAGGGTTAATAATAAGAAAGAGAATGAAGTTGAGAAATGGAAAAGAGTGAAAGGGGGAATACACTTGGGCTTGTGGGAGCAATAGGAACAGAACCAAGACCCTTTGGGGACAGAGGGAAGAATGGGTCTGAGGCAGAAGAGGTGGAACCCTTTGTCGCATTTGTCGCAGAGAAGCAACTTCGCAGGAAAATCTCCCGACCCACATTCCTCGCACGAGACGTCGTCGTTCAGGCTTTTCCACGATTTGGGAGCATGAGTCCTTCTTCGACTCGGTGAATAAGCCATCTATGCAAAAGCTATTCCCTTCATTCACTGTGTAATGTGAATTATAATTATAAAGTAAAGCCTCTTCGCGCCCTAATTTGCCTTCGCGGGGTTTGCCTCCCGCCGAAATAAAAAGAAATCACAATACACACCCAATGAAATTGATTGATTATTAATTTTAAAAATAATTCACAAGAGAGGTTTAAAGCATACATTGTTAAAATGAATTTTTTATTAAATTATTTTATTCAAAAATAATTAAAAAATATTTTAAATATACAAAAATATATTTTAAAAAATTATAATATATTATTTTTTATATTTTTGTTTAAAAAATTCTCTCATTTAATTCTCTTCAAAAAATTTATATTTATTTACTATCTTGATCAATGTTTGTGTCTAGTTTTTGAACTTCACACTTTCACTCTTCAATATAAGTCATCTAGCATGAGAGGTAGTATAAAATTTGGTAACATATTCACTAATTGACATGCTTCCTTGTTTCAGCTCCAAAAACTTTATCTCCTTTCTATTTTTCACATCATTTGAGAAGTATTTGTCAAAGAATGCTCCTTTGGATAGTTAAATTAAAAAATTTATTTCCAACTTTCTTATCTAGGCTTGACGTTGTCAAGGTTGTATCCTCCTTTGAACTTTAAGAAATTCTTGTATAAATTTCTTTTAATCTTTATAAAATTATATACATTATGTCAAATTATTGAGAGAAAAAAGTGTTCAAAGAATACCTAAATTCATAGAATTTGATGAAATAAATATAGATGAATGTGAGCCTTTGGTGCAATGATATTTCTCAACTAAATTGTTGTATTTCTTTTATGGGGCTTATGTTTTCTCTTTTGATGGGAGGAGAATAAACTTTTTTTAATTTGGTATATTTGGAGACCATTATCAATTTTTCTATTTTAAACCTATTTATAAGGTTCTCATTATCCCTTAAGCAACCTAAACTAAGTTTTCACTTATTATGCTCGTATTATTTTCTATCAATAAATCAAAGGATTAATTAAAATTAGATCACTTATATTAAGTTTATAAAAAAAATATAAATAAGTCATATAAATACACAATTTATCCTCCTTGCCATAAATTTATCCTAAATTCCATTACAAACATGAAATTCTACTCATTAGTTCTATATAAATACACAATTTTATAGCAATCACAAAAAAATATAACACAAGAAAATCAATTCTACTTGTCTTAACTAGTTTTCAAATCTAGCCTAAAAGGGCATGTTTTGAACAAATTGTAGCAAGAATATCGTGATTGTAACAAGGATTTCATGATTGTAGCAAGTATATCCTTGATATTGTAGCAAGGACATCGTGATTTCACACGTTTAGTGTCCTAGATGAGGGTAATGCATGTTGTTAATATGACCCAAGTAGCTGATCAACAATTTAGTTTTAGGCATATAGAATATTGTCTTTAAGAATTATTTCGGTGTAGTTCTCCAGGGTATCTCTTCTTATCTTAAAAAACAAGGCTCTCAAGAACTAGCAAGATTTAAAACTTGTAACCCAAAAAAAATATATAATCAGAATAGTCTGTGCGTGTTCATGCGTGTTTTGTACGATTTTCTCAAAATATATAAAATACTTTAACCAATATAATTGTTCACGTAAAAGTTACATATAACTGAAAATATAAATAGTAATAACAAAGATATAAGTAATAATACAGTTTTCCAATAACTTGGTTTATGCATAATTCTTTTTAATTTTCACATAAAAAAAAAGTCATCATGAATATTTTGTGATAACAAAGTCACGTCATAATATACATATAAAAAAATTTCACATTAGGATACTATTTAATTCCATTTGAATGACTCAATCAACTTGAGCATTACATTTAATCAAACAAATGGACTTAAATAGATTCACTTGCTCAAAATCTCAATTCCATCTGTATTCATCATACATCGTCAACATCTCTGCTTAATCTACTCAATTGGTTGGTCATGTTCAAGTGACACCTACCAATTTAATAGATCTAAATGGATTCACCTATGTATAAGGAAAGTCAAGTTTTATTCTATAGCATTTCCCATCCATGTGTTGGCATAAACAAAATTACCTTATACGAAGTCTCTTGGCATTAAGCAATTATCTAAATACCTTAAAATCATAATTTAAATTTGATTACAAAATTTCTGCTTTTTTATTTATTTATGCAATATTTGATTAAACATTCTTAATTTGCTTAACCTATTTTCCTTTCGTTTGAGCGAAATCAATCTCACTTGTGTTAGGCCTGTAAATTTATTATTGATTAACCTATAATATTTTGTACTTGTTAAATGTTAATTGAAGGATTATTTAATATTGAAATAGATTTAGACAGAGTTTGAAATTATTTTAAAAATTAAAAAAAAAAGTAAATAGTAATTCTTACATAAACAGTAAGGCGGTGTGAACAGTAAGAGGTGTGAATAGTAACTCCGACGTGAACAGTGCCAAATTTTTTTTTTCAAAATTTTGCCTATAAATAAAGGTTTTGCACGAAATTTTTACTTCTTCACACTTTTCAAAGGTTCTAGAGAGGACTCATTTTTTTATGATCCTTCAATAAAAAGATTCATTCTCTTCATAAAAAAAAGGAGGTAGAACTAATAAAGATTGATTTTTCAATTCATCCCTGGAGTTAAATACCTCATTCAAAAATGGTTTTTGATCCAATATGGAGGAATCAATAGAAAAAGTAAATTCCCTATGATACACTAGATTTGGCTTAGTTATTGATAAAGTGAATAGATCTGTCATTTCTTGAAATATCTCTTCTGATTCAAAATCATGGTGTAATGTGTATCTCCCTTATTTCGGTCATGGAATAGATGAAATAAAACCAAAAGACGAATTTTTGTTCAACAATGAAATCTTATTGGAATTGTCTAGTTCATCCTTCAGAACCATATCACATCCCGGATTTGATGAAATAGGATGAATTGAGACGATATTTTGTAAATACATAATTATCTTGAATATATTAACTATTTCTTTATTTTTCCATGGAAAGAACAAAAGAAATATCTTGTTCTTTCTTCAATAATTTCTTATCTCTAGTGGACCTCTCAGACTATTTTCTCTCATACTAAACCTTCCTAAACTTAGATTTCTCGTCAGATATGAGATTCTACCTCTGTTCTGAAGGATTTAAAGTATGTTTCTATAGATTTGAAGTTAGATTTACCGTTTGTTTCTCTTCTTCTTCTTTTTCTTATAAATAGTTAATGATATCTTAGAAGAAACTTCATTATAGGGGTTTTTTGCCTGTATAAGGTTAAAACCAAAACATTTTATCCGTATGGGGTTCTTTGACAAAAAATTCCCTGTCTAGGGTGATTTGTGAGTGTCGTCAAAACTTCTGGCGACACATGATCAAGTATCGGCTGGAAGAATGCCGACACAGGTGTCAGACCCGACTACTGAGAGCGGTTCAAAATGAACCGCTCTCATAAATCAATTTTAGAGAGCGGTTGTAACGGAATCGCTCTCTAAAACGGACTTTTGAGAGCGGTTCGAAATGAACCGCTCTCAAAAGTCCATTTTAGAGAGCGGTTCACACCAGTGTCGGGTTGTTCAGGACCGACACACACTCATTGGTCCAGGCCCTCCATCTTTGTTCTGTTATTCATCTTCTTCGGTGAAAATTTTTTGCAAACATACTGCAAACGCAGAGGTAGAGGTGGAGTGGAGAAGCAGGGCAGATGAATGCAAAAGTTTTAAAGCTTTGAAAGGTAAGAAAAAAACATTATAGTGTATATTAGATATAAATATAAAATATTTATTCTTGTTTCCGTTTTTGGTCCCAGGAATTGCAATCTGTGGTGGTCCAGGGTATTGTGAGAGGGACTTTCGGTGGTGTAGTTTCTTAGCAAAAAGAGGTTAGTAAAAATTTATATTTATAGTGATTTTGTTATGCATGTAAAAAATAGGAAAATAGGAATATAGAAAAATAGAAAAATAGGAATATAGAAAAATAGAAAAATAAAAAAATAGTTAAATTAAAATATATAATTTTCTTGTTACTTATGTAAAAAATAATTAAATAAGAAATATAAAAGAATTAAATTGAATAAATATATGAGGAAAAATTATGTATGATTATTATTATAAGGTTAATAAAATATAAAATTATGAATAACAAAATAAAATTGAAATAATAAGAATGAAAAATATTAATTAATAAATTTATATTATAAGAATCTACAGTTGTTAAATTTGTAATAATATTTCAACAAATATTATGTCACATAAATAAGAAATAGTAAATAAATTAAAATTGTGAAAGATTAAAATATAGTTATGCATCAAATAATTATAAATTAGATTAATTTAAAAAAATTAGAGTAAAATATAAGGAATTAAGTGAAATAAAGATGAATATATAAGCAATGTAAGTTAAATAAAATTGAAAATATTATTTTAAAATATAAATGACTGAAAATAAAAATATTAGATCAATATTAATTTAGACATTTGAATATTTTAAAAAGTTTGTAGTTATTTAAATGATTTTAATCAATAATAATAAATTACAATTTTATGCATGTAAAAAAATTAAAAAAGGGAAAGAGAAAAATAGGAAAATAATTAAATTAAAATTAATTTTTCGTTTTATTTATGTAGAAAACTGTATTTAAAAGTAAAAATGATGATGATATTATTATTGTTATACAAATATTATTATCTTAAAATAACAAAAAAATATAATTAGAAAAATATTATTTGAAGGTACAAATTGTTTAATACTAAAATGATATTATTTTTATTAAATTTGGTTGCTTATATTATAAATTTGAAGTAAATAGTTTACTTGTTTATATAGATTTTAGATGGCATCATCTTCGTCTCGTAGTAGGGTGTTAAATCCTGGCCCCGAGGATGGTTCATTACTGTGCTATCAGTCTATTCATGTTTCAGAGCATATTTGGGATGGTCGTGAACACCCAATATTGAGAGTGAGAAGAGGTCATTTCATACATGCTGGCATGGAGGGAGTACCAGTAGGGATTATTCCTCATTTGACAGTAGCAGGATTTGCTGGAGTAGCACAGTTGGCTAGTATTCCTATTGACCGCCAATTGATTACAGCGTTAGTAGAAAGATGGAGGCCAGAGACCCATACATTTCACATGCCTCCTGGAAAGTGTGCTATTACTCTTCAAGACATTGTTATTCAGATGGGTCTTCGTATTGATGGAAGACCAGTTATTGCCCCTACAGGAGGTGACAGGGCACAAATTGTTGAAGATTTATTGGGAATTAGACCACCTAATTCTGCATTTATGGGGAGCAGCTTGAAACTTACTTGGTTGGATGAGCATTTTTCCCATGTTGGGTTGCACAACCAAAATCCCATTCAGCTAACTCGCTTTGCAAGAGCATATATTTTGAGACTTATTGGTGGGTTTATGTTAGCTGATCATTCTAGTAGCAGGGTCCCAGTTAGGTACCTTCCTTTACTTGAGGATTTAGAGATAACTGGACAATATAGTTGGGGAAGTGCAGCGTTAGCCTTCCTATACAGAGAGTTATGCATGTCCACGAATATTGATCGGTCTGGTATTGGAGGATTGACTCCACTTGTGATGCTGTGGGCGTGGGATAGGTTCCCATTTCTATCTCCGGGTGATCCCCCTTACACACAGAATGATCTTCCTTATGGTGCACGGTATGTCTATAATATTAAAACTTTCATTCAATATTTACACAACAGTATTTTATTACAAACAGTCATGCTAATATTTATGTTTTTATAGGTGGTTAAGATTTCAAAATTTTAAGAAGGGGAGAAAGGATCTAGCTTACTTTAGGTTCAAATTTGATCATTTGAAACGTGATCAGGTATGCGTTATTTATTTATGATATATGTTATCATTAATTAATAATTATGAATAATTACAATAATATTTTGTACACTTGCAATTTGTGTGGCAACCATATAGTATAGATTTGATGCATACTTTGCCTGCCATATGCACTGAGGGCATGCATATATGGAGAGCTATTGTGCCGCTTATTTGTTTCCAAATATGTGAATGGCACCAGCCCGATCGTACCATGCGTCAATTTGGGATGGTACAACATATTCCTCATGCTCCTTATCAGCCAGACCAGCTACATGACATTACTCTTAAAGGGAAGACTGCTGACAATTGGGAGTCAAAGTTTAGGTGCGTACTAGAGCATTGGGACAGGAGATTAGATTGGGTTGTGAGTAATGAACCACAAATTGGTCTACTGAGTTCGAACTCTAAATACATGCGGTGGTACCATACTCATACTAGATGGTGGATGAGCAGAGATGCTGCAGTGTTTGCATTACTTGTACGTATAGATCGTTCTAGTAAACGATTTTGTTTGTTTAATAGAATCTAATCTGAATGTAATGGTTATGCAGGGAGATGCTCATGAGAGGGCCTATTACTTGTGTAATGATGGGAGGGACACATTTTCATTTGAGGAGATGAAGGATTTGTGTGAGACGATGTTAGCCTTGCAAAATGAGCAGGAACGTATCTTAGAGCCTTCATCCTCATGTGATCCTCCTATCCAGAGTGGAAATCTAGATGAGCCTCAGATTGACATTGGTATTGGTGAACAACGTCGGGAAGGCAAAGGTTTGCAACGTCGACGAACGTCATTTCAGGTATTGTTACCTTATGCTTCATTGGGTCATTTTACTTAAATTATAACATGTTTCATTTGAACATACTTATGTGTTTAAAATTGCAGGCCACAGATTTTACATTGCCCCCTTTGCCCGAACGAGGAGATGGTGTTTATTTTGTCCCACCACCTTTTCCGTTTCAACAATCACAATGGACACAGTCATCTTATGTTCACTCATCACAGCAATCAAACGTCCCTCCTGCATCTCCATTTTTTAGCGGTGAATTTTATGTTCCTGACGCTAGCCTTTTCATGACACCTCCTCCATATGAGCCTATGTTTTTCACACCGAGTGCACCCGGTGTAGGCACTCATCAAAGTGGATGTAGTGAGCAAACAACATCATTGGTACCTGGGCATGACCGTGGAATTGATCTTAATGCTGAATTCATTGCAGCCTCAGATGCAGCAGGAGCTGATGTGAGACGTAACCCTCACCGTGGAGCGCAAGATCGTCGTCGACAGTGCATTCTCACACCTCATGAGGAGGGACCTCACGAGCAGTCATTGAATTCTGATTGAGACTATGTTATGATACTGTATTTGAAAACTTTATTTGTTTGTTTAATGAATTTTTGCTTTTGTTTAAATGCACGACTCATTTATAATTTGCCACATTCTACACATTCGACATCAAACAAGATTAATCAAACAACATACATTAATAAGACAACATACCACAATAAGACAACATACATTAATAAAATCTAGCACACTTTTTACAATCATACGAAACTAGTCATGATTAATGTTAGCATTGCTTTGTTGAGTACAATGACATTGATTATGACCTGGTTGTCGACATAACCTACATCGTTGTCGCGGTTGTGACTCAACCCAATCCATTTCATTTCTAATTCTACAAGCCTTTGGTCTTCCTTTACCTCGTGCTCTATCTTGATCAGGCAACAACTTCCATTCATCATTTTGTAAAATGTTTGCTTCATTTCCAAGCGGCCACCACTGAGATGAGTATGCGTTCACAACATACTGCAGAGTATATACAGGATCAACATACTGCCAAAAGTCTATACTTACAGTAACACAAGCGGCTATGACATGTGAACAAGGGTATCGGTATGCCTGAAATTTGCCACATTCACATTCACGTGTAGATAATATCACACTCCACTTATGACCCCCACTTTGTGTCATTGGATTAAAAGCCTCTTCAATCTCGAACCTTGTACTTTGTATGTCGTAACGACGAACCTGATGCGAAGATGCTTCTTCTTGATTTTTTTCTATAGCTTCAATTAATTTACGACAATACCTTTTACCATTGTTCATGTCATTGATTGCGCTTTCACCCCGTTTGACAAAATATTCGACCAATCTACTATAGGTTGCTTTCACAAGGGCAGTAATTGGGAGATTTCTTGCCCCTTTTAAAACTTTATTCACTGACTCAGACAAATTAGTCGTCATGTGACCATAACGCCACCCTTCATGATCATAAGCCAAGCTCCACTTTTCCTTTGATATGTTGTCAATCCATGTTTGAACTTCAGGAGAATGTGAACGAAATTTATTAAGACCAGCTTCAAATCTTTGCTTGCAAGGTGTATACGCTACATTTAAATAAGTTATACAGTTAATGGTGAAAAATAAATATATATTCATAGATAATGTAAAATGTAATAGTGATAACATACTTACCTAATTTCATAAGCATACTCTTCATTGCGGAATTTTTGAATCTTCTATTAAAATTGCTTGCAATGTGACGAATGCAATAAACATGGTAAGCATTAGGAGGTTGCCACCCAATATGTGGATTAGACACAGCACTTTTAATACTTTGATGGCGATCAGATATTAAACAAATTCCAGTTTTATCAGTAACATTTAGACGGATCATGGCTAAGAACCATTCCCATGTTGATAATGTTTCTCCTTCAACAATGGCAAATGCTATAGGAAGCACACTGTTATTGCCATCTTGAGTTGTACCAATAAGCAATGTTTGCTTATACTTACCATACAAAAAGGTACCGTCTACTTGTATTATAGGCTTGCAAAACTTCAAGGCTTCACGACATTGCCTAAACGACCAAAATACTCGATGAAAGACTCTGAATCTATTATCCATTACATTACCTCTCACATAATCATTGGTCTCAATTTTGTAAACTGACCCTGGAGCATGTAATTGCATGTATTCTAACCATCTTAGTAATGTTGCATAAGATTCATCCCAATCACCAAATATTGTCACAATTGCTTTTTGTTTTGCTTTCCATGCTTTTTTGTATGAAACTGAATACCCAAATTGGCCACTTATTCTCTCTTGGATTAATGAAACGGGAACAGAAGGTTCTTCTTTGACCATACCTGTCAATAAAATTAAACAATACATCTCAGCTAATGATCATATCCAAATAATTTTAAATACACAAATAAATATAATCTCAATTGAGTTTCACGTACCAATAATGCATGAACAAATAAAATTTGAATCTAACTTTTTGTGGTCTTGAGAAATCATAGTATTAATGCAGGTATGCATACCACCCCATCCCGTAATTTTCCACTTATTTGAATTTTTGGGTAGCAATGCTCTTACTTTCCAAGGACACCCGGAAATATGATTCACACACTTGACAAAATGAGTTGATGCTTTTGACTCAACCACAAAAAATGTTTGATGTTTCTTCATTGCATAATGTTTTATCGCCATCTTTACCTCCTCTTTAGAGTCAAATAGTTGTCCAACATATAATGCATCTCCTTGTACCCATAATTGTGACGAATGCAACTCCGAAAAATCCAATTCTTGATCAGGATGTTCCCAATTAATAGTAGTGTAGTGTGAACTTATGTTCCAAAAAGGTGTTATAGAATCTGTATTAAACTCAACAAATGTTAGTTAAAAATATTTAACAATTATTGTATTATATAAAATTGTACCTGCAGATTGTCCTTGCATAATGTTATTTCTTTCAGTGTTTGGAACTGTCATCATTGAATCGAAGCCATCTTCCAAATCAGTATCAGAAAAACTATCTAAAGGAATTTCTCCTTCATCTTCATAGTCATCATCGTACTCATCTTCGTCATCTGTAGATGCAGCAGCAAATATTTATTAACAAATTATAAAATTTTAAACATCATATAATTGAAATAAATATTATACATTACCTCCTCCAATTGCATACTCTTCTTCATTGTCACTAACAGACACAGTTGGAAGTGATACATTTAAACATAACAAACTTTCACCTATATGAGAAGTTTCACCAACCGCAATATCCACATATAACTCAACTACTCTTTCATGTCGTTCTTCACAAGCACTTATCATACAGTCAATGTCTTCATCATCACATACATCTAAAATTGTGTAATTTTCACTCCTTGAATCAACTAAAATTCGTGAAATTAGTCTAGAAATTACATTACTATTGCACAATTTCAATTTTGTATGTATTTTTTTTTTCAACATCTCAAAAGTAATTCCACGTTCTATTTTAATCATTTTCTTATTCCCTTCAAATATGATACCCTCATTTCCTTCGTACACTCTTCCATTCCAGTATAAAATAACCACAATTTTAGTCATCCTGTGTATCAAATTAAAAAATACAACCAAAATTATTAAAAAAGTTTACCTAAACAAATAGTAACAAAAATAATTACCACAACATTAAAATAATATATTTTTACATTTATATTTTCAATAATATTATATTAACATTAAATAAATTAAATTTATTACTACAAATATTTTTATTTATTTATAATAATAGTAAAATTATTAATTCAAATTTATTTACAATAATAAAAAAATTTAAAACAATAAATTAATAACATTTTAACCTTTTTTTTTCCAGCAGAAAAGCTCACAATTGCGTCCCCTCTCCTCACAATTGCGAAATGCAGCAGCAGAATACTCGACGTAAGCCTCTATATATTAGGAAGATAGTGTCGGCATTCTTTCAGCCGATACACAAGTGTCGCATAATTAAACCGACACACATGACTTTTGAGAGCGGTTCGAATTGAACCGCTCTCAAAAGTCCGTTTTAGAGAGCGGTTCAGGTCGAACCGCTCTCAAAAGTCAGTTTTAGAGAGCAGTTCAATTCGAACCGCTCTCAAAAGTCGTTTTAGAGAGCGGTTCCGTTACAACCGCTCTTAGTAGTCGGGTCTGACACCTGTGTCGGCATTCTTTCAGCCGATACTTGATCATGTGTCGCCAGTAGTTTTGATGACACTCACACAATCACCCTACACAGGGAATTTCTTATCAAATAACCCCATACGGATAAAATGTTTTGGATTAAACCCTATACAGGCAAAAAACCCTCATTATAGAGCTAAATATTCAGTGGATCTTGCCATAAAATAAGTAATATTTGGTAGATCTGGTGTGAATCGTTATTCTAAGGTAAGGGGAGCTTACCTTAACTATTAAACAATGTTTAGAATAATTTGGTATGTTATTACAAGAAGTTTTGAGATATTTTGTCAGATCTCTTGGATAAAAGTTATTTTCTATGCTATAACTATTGTTAATTGATTTAAAAATTGAGATTTGACTGAAATATTATGAACTGTTTTAGATGAGTTGTTGAGAATATGACTTTGTCTATGCTGCATCATGCTGAGATATATGTCTTGCATCATGCTGAGATATATGTCTTGCATCATTACAGAGTCGAGTTACACGTTTAGGTGGATAGACATGTAACGATAGAGCATGTTAAGCTGTATTGTGCTGTGCGGTCTGGATCCAAATATCGGAATGGGTCGCTCTCGAACCGACTCGATTTTTTCTGGATTACTTAGGTTGTGAAACTAGTTGGAATCATTTTCATGTTGTGCATTAGATAGACTGGGAATGCATGAGACTATCGCTGTGAGTAATATTTGGCTCTCTATATATGATTTTTCTTTTGTAAGCTCACCTTTACATTTATGTCTTTGTTGTTGTGTGCGTGTATACTACGATGATCGTGCGGTGGTACGTGAGCAAATGTAGCAGGTGTTGTAGTAGAGAAGTGTTAGAAGGTTGGAGTTGAGTAATTTTGCATTAAAGTGTTTTTCCTTATATTTGGGATCTCATATAGAAGGAGTTATGTAGTATAATTTTGTGTATTTTGAGTATTATGAACTAAATGTGATATTATGTTGTTTTGTTAGATATTTGTTGTAAGGAACTTTGTTTTATTTTAAATGAGAAGTGAATTTTTTACTTATATTGTCTATTATATATCTATCTTAAATAAGTAAATAGTGTAGAAATAATGTTCTCGGTTCCTTATAAAAAAAGGTCATGACAACTTAAGCTACTTAAGTAAATGGAGGATCTTTGAAATAAGGTGTTGTGTCCAATTTTTGCTTTAAAAAATTACAATTTATTTAAGAAAATTAGGGTCACTTAAGCGAAGCAGAAAGTATCTTGCTTAAGTGAGTAAAGATATTTGAAATATAGTATTCTCTGTCCAATATTTGCTTAACAATTTTAATAGTCATTTAAAGGGATATTAGCTTAAGCAAGGGTCACTACTACCATTCTATGTTGGCTTTAACATTCACTTAAGTTAATATGAATTGTCATTTAAATTAAACTTTTGTGCGCTTAAGCGAAAATTAAAAAGTTTGTTTAAGAAAAAAAAAACTAAACATCTAGTTCTTGTGTAAATGAGAGAGAATTCAAATTCATCACAATCCAGATTGAATGAAATTGATTGATTATTAATTTTGAAACTAATTAATAAAAAGTATTTAATTCATTAAACATATGTCAAAAAATAAAATAAATTTTAGCATAAATCACTTCAAAATTAGTAAACATGTACATGTTTTACACAAGTTTATTTATATTTTTATATTTAACTATTTTGTTTAAAAATAATTAAAAAAATAATGAATATTAAAAATTATAATATAAAGAAAACTTATAATATAATTTTTTATATTTTTTATTTATTTTAAAAAATTAATTAATAAAATTGTTGTACATATAAATTTATAATAATAAAATGCATATTTTTAATTACTTTAGTTATTATTTAATAGATAAAACTAAATAAATAAAATAAAAATGTTAAACTAAAAAGAATATGTAGGTTAAGTTAAACATAAATAAAGAAAATGTATATTTTATCCTTGTCTTTTTAAAAAACTAATATTAAATATGATTTTACATTAAAAATTATATAATTATAAGTATAAATAAAATTATATTAATTTTTAAATTTTTATTGTAAAGAAAAATAAATTAATTTTAAAAATTAACATAGATATAAATTGATTATTATATTGCATATTCTTAATTTTTAAATTTTATTGTTGATCATTACATAAATATAAAAAATAATAATTAAAATAATAGATTAAAAGAACATAAAAATGAAATTAAATAGTATAAAATTTATTAATTTTAAAATAAAAAATCTTTTTATGATCTAACAAAATTATTAGTCATGCTAAATTTTTTTTAAAAATAATTGTAATAAATAATTTATTAAATCTGCACGTGCATTGCACGAGATAGTTTATATTTTTTATAAAATAATTTTATTTAAAAATAATTAAAAAAATTATAAATATTTATTGAAAAATAAATTAGTTTATAAAATTATCATTCATATAAATTTATAATAATAAAATACATATGCTTATTTTTTAATTATTTTATTAATAGATATAAATAAATAAATTTAAAATATTAGATTTAACGGAACATATAGATTAAGTTAAAGATAAATAAAAAAATGTATATTATTTAAAAATATACTAAATCTAACTTCAATATAAATTCATTTCAAATTATATGATAAGGAGTGCAAATTAAAATATATTAATTTTTTATCGTCACAAAAAAAATAAAGTTAAGCTTAAGTAATGTTTATAGCTTTCTCATTTAATCTCCTGTTTTAATTGTTTTCCAAATAATTTTTTTAAGTTGATAAGGATAATGAAGTACGTATCTTTGTACTCTTAAATCCCAATTTCAAAATCTCTAATCTTATAATTTAAATTTTATTTAAAAATCTAAAATATATTATGCAATTAATGACAAACAAATCAAAATAATAATAATTTGAATGATTAGATTGAAAAATATTAAAAAGAAAAAATCAAATAAAAAACACTAAATTTATTAAAAACTAAAACCTTGTTAAGTTACTAGGTTAGTAAATCCGTGATTTTTATTTTTATTTTTATTTTTTGATGTCTGTGATATTGAACACATGCTCTAGTCTCATTATAGGCCACTGAAACTTGAGTCACAGAAATTAGCTAGTAGACTTGATTTTTCACTTAGAGGCAAGGAATTCAGGGGAAGAAGGGCCATGTAGGAATACGGTCTAAAAATAAGGTCAAAACAAAGGAAGGTTTACAATACTAACAAATATTACTCTATTCTATTCCTACATGAATTAAACTATTTGATATCAATGTTGGTCTTCATCCATAGAATACAATATCCTCTCTGCATATTTAAAAACTGGAGAACCTTTCTTGGTCATTTCAACGATTTGCCTTATCAATTGCTGTTCTACCTCACCATCAAAACCACAACTTTCAACTTCAGTACCATCTAATTCACAAATGCTAGAATTCCCTTCCAACATGGTCACCTTGCTAAAAGAGAGCTCACTTGCAGGATAAGTTGCGGCACCATTTGCTCCTCCGTGTTGAACCTCAAATGCATGCCAATCTTGTGAATGTGAACCTTCTTTGTGGTCACCACTATCATAGATCTCTGAGGGTGAATTTTCTTCAGAGTCATTTATCTTTATTAATTCTTCATAGGCCTCATTGTATGCATCGAGAGCTTCACCTGATAAATTGAGAACTAAGGGCTGGGACATAGGATCCCAGTCTTCATTTCCTTTGGTAAAGGAAGATACCTTTTCGAAATGACCCTCCTGATCCAATTCCAAAAGTCGTACTTTCCTTTGGCTGCTTTCAAGTGCAATCTCAAGTTCCTTCACGCGTTGCTCAAGTTGGGATTGTTTAACTTCATGCAAACGCAAACTCAGCTCATGAGGCAAAACTGCATAGTTACCAGGTAGAGGTGTTGGGTCACTGGCATCATCATTTGATTTTAGAGGGACAAAATCATTGCCACCGATCCTGTCAGCTCTTAAATCACCTTGAGCAAAATCTGCTACAAACTCTGGGTCAAGCTGCAAGAATTTGTGCACCATTAACAACCATGAACCCATTTAAGAACCCTTAACTTCAACCAGAAAAGCAATGGAGCAAAATATAGGATTTAATACTTGCAAAATAAAATGCATTGGAACTTTCAAGAGAAACAAGGCATATAAATTTGGGCAAAGGAAGCTAAAACCAATGTCTACACCATGCAAGGATTTCTTGTTTTGTTACTCAACACACCAATGCAAATCAGTAGCTAGGAATTTTCAGTTACTGATACAATGCTGATTTCTAGTAGAATAAATTAGTCATATGAATTAGAAACCTCTGCTGCAGCTTAAATCAGAAAAGTGGAAGCTCCTTGCATTTGTCATTCATGTTACAGATCAAGGTTATACTCCATAAAGCTGAAAACAGGAAGGAGTTCAGCAATATAATATGTCTTTAAGGCACATAAATCAGGAGGGGCCATCTCCATTCTATTTTTTGTTATTTCCACTACCGTCGAGGATGAGAAAAACTCAACTAGGAGGTGCACACATGGAAAAACTAACAATAAAATACACCAAACTGATGAATTTCAAGACAATGATTTGTCCCAAAGAGGAACATTCAATTGCTAGAAAAAGTGAAGAAAAACATTTATTCTTACCTCAACAAGCTCGGATAATTTTTTTTCTAGGCTTGATGCATTCATGTCCAACCCCAATCTCTCAAGTTCAGCTTCAAGCTCAGCTTCAATTTTGCTCATGGATTCTGAACTCTGTTCTACCTTCTGATCATATGATTCTTGGGAGTCAATTCTTGGTGAGTTATCCATATGTTTTTCAGGGGAAAATTCATTCAGCTCCTTCTCATAAGAGAAATGATCACATGCATCCTGTGAACCATAATTTTCATTATGTATCTCCTTCACAGTCAGTGAATCTTTCATTTCAAGTTCCTCTTGTAAATCTTGAACCAAGTTTTCTGTCTGCTTCAACAACTCTCTTAACTTGTCTATTTCTCTTTCATTTGCCATGATGGAAGTTATCATCCCAAAAGAAATCCCAAGAATGAAGAGAAATGTTGTATCTGATGAATATGGACGTGTTAAAAAATGTAGGAATTGATGTAAAACAAGACACAAATCAAGTTCCTGAGACATGATGTCCAAAAATAAAATAAATAGCAACTTAATTCATTTCAAAAATCAATATTTGCAGTTGCGGATGCAGTTGATATTTTTGGGTTAGTAAGCTAGGCTTGATCAACACATTAAAAGATCAGATTCTCTACAGTGTGCTTCAATATCATCATGAATAGAGAAACTAAGAGCTAAAATATCCCTCCAATATGTAAGAACTTTAAACTAGTTCAAAAAGCCATCCGATTTTCAATTAACTTGTAATCTGTATGTTTCTATCTCCGAGACTAGTGAATTGCATAGAAATATCAAATATCTCAAAATTCCTTTACAATTTTTCTTCTCACAATACAGGAGGAGACTGTAATTAAAAATAGAAGGCTGAGAGAAGTATACAAAACTGTATAATATCATATTGGAAGACATAAAATTTCCTGAAGAGTAACAATTGTGCTATTCCTACCACAAAAGAAAAAGTTATAAACATAAGCATGAGCAACTAATACATAAAACAAACATTTGCTACAGAGCACAAGCTAAAGAGAAGTTGTTTAAATCAAGAAATATACCACATTGAGTATGGAAGAGTTTTTCACTCAACGCATCATCAGAAGAGCTCAATCTTCGACGTCCTCCGATGACTGCATTAAATTTCATCTGTAAGGAAGGAACGCCAAATACATTTTCGTCCTTTACTTGACTAGCTTCTTTATGCAACTTATGTTCCTTGCTTCCAAATGATGCACTGAACAAATTATTATTTGGTCTGTTGATTATTTGGCTTCCATTGCTTACAAGAAATGATCTTGTAGTTGTGGATGGGGACGAAAAAGAACTAAAGACGTATTCTGTTTCAGCATGCTCCTTGTATAGCTGAGCCATGCAGCAACTTTCTAAGGAACTTAAACGTCTACTAACACGCCCAGACAAACGCTTCGTCTTGAGAAAGGTTTTATGACCAGAAGAGTTACGAATAGGAACCACTTCAACAGAAGAATCGGGAAGAAAGAAACCACAATTGCCAACAATATCAGAAGAGCCTGGCATATGTCCATCTTTAACATCCTTAAACTTATCATCATACGGTGCTAAAGACACTGCTAAGTTCAATATAGATAGGACATCAAGCTTGTTATAATTACGGAAGTGTCTTATTTGTTCACTATTAAGCCCTTTGTTAGAAGCTACTTCTCCTGTCAAAAGAGTACCAGGTGTGTTCAGATCTGAGGACTTCACATCTGAATAAACATCTCTTCGTGCTTGTTTGGAGAAGGGAAAGGGGCTGCTCGGGGACTCAGGATTCTCAAAACATGAATTCTCTAAAGCGGAAAGGCAAGTGCTGTTGCCACTTTTTGAGTTCCTGTTCCAATATTTAGCTAAACACCCAGCTCCAGCGGCTGCTGCAACAACCCACAAATCCATTTCACCCTCCCTGCCACAGCCACTACCCCAACTCCACAGTACAATTCACTATCTTTCTTTCAATAATTAGCACCAAACAGCCAAGGGAAGAACTTTCCATGAATTAGAGAAATCCCCTTCGACTGTTCTTGTAATAACAAACTAAATAATCAACAGCTCAAAATCACTTCATACTAAACAACAATACCACAATCCCTGATTGACAAAACTCATATTCTCCTCCTTAATCAAACCAAGCCCCCACCATTCACTACTCTAACCATAAGAAACCACTCTCCAAGTTCAAGCAATGTGAACCATTAACCAACAATACTTGAAAACACAAAACTAGGCAAATAAACAAATAAAAATGCCCAAAGAAAGGGAACAAGAAGAAATAATCAAAAGGGAAAATTCATAACTTTCTACCAACTTTCAAATGCCAGAGACAACCACCACCCAATGAAAATTTTCCAGAGAGAAACACGCAATTCAAAAAACGAAAAACAAAACAAAACATTTGAGCAACAGAAACCAGAAGCTATATCCCCTTAAAAGTAGCCTCTTCACTTCAAAATCCGTTTTGGCCAAAAAATACAATCGAAGCAAATGCCCCACAATTTATAACAATAACAAATGAACACGGCCTTTGTTGCTGCTAGTTTTCTGGCATTGGATAAAAGAGAGAAGAATTTTCTTTCTTTCTTTCTTTCTTTTAAATTCCTAGCTCGTGAAATGAAATCTAAGACATGAAATATTGTCGAATCTCGCAGGTTGGAAACGTCGAAACATAAAGAACGAGACACGCTACACCGTTATCTCTACGGAACAAACACAACATGTTCTCACGAAAGGAAAGCACTGGTCGCTTATGCCTAATAACATTTCGCAACATAATAAATAAACATTTATTTATCCGCAGAGAAATTTGGACGCTGTTTTTTTTTAATATATATATTGTTATTATTATTATTATTATTATTATCTCTGTCTCTTTCTCTCTCCAGATTTTATAGGGTTCACTGGAGTCTCATCCACAATTCCACATTGCCATTGCCATTGCCATTGCCACTTGTCTAAGAAAAATTAAGAGAAGGAATAATAACCGTAATAAAGAAGGAAAGTGTCTCACTATGTTTTCTCTATCCCGGCTTTCATTTTTCATTTTTTAGTCAACTTTTTATTTGCCTCACAAATAATATTTTTAACTAAAAATTAAATCTTTTTAAAACATATTATAAAGATTTTGTATACATGAGTAAGAATTAAACTAACATATTTAACACATTTAATTATTTATTAATATGTCACATTTTATTAGTAGGGATGAAAATAAACTTGATTTTGTATAAACAAGTCTTACCTATCTAATAATTTTAAAACTTAAACATGACCTATTATTTGTTATAAGCTTTTTATTAAGTTCAACTTTACTTTTAAAAAAGTCTGATGTAGTCTATTAACTTTTTTAATAGCTTATTTCATATCGAAACATTTAATAGGTCATTAAATTTTCTTATAAATAGATTATTAAATAATCTAAATAGGTATTTCTTTTAAAAGTTATAAAATTTATATCTAAATAAATTATGAAAAAAATAATTCAACACCTTGAATATGTATAATAAAATTACATATTATTATTTATTATTTTAAAATCACATATTTAATTTAAATAAATAAATTACTACACATACAAAAAATACAGTAATATAAATATCAATTTATAAATTATTAAACAAATCTAGTAGCATAAAATTTTACACATTAAATCAATAAATACAATATACCTAAATAAGTTTTAGACCTAAAATTAGCAAATGCAACAAACAAAAATCTAACATGCACAAATAACAATATTCTTTAACTTTAACGAAAAGCATTAAGATTTTTAATTTAAAATTTTATTATTTTAAAATTTAATTAATTTAATATATTATTATATTATAATTTTTATATAAAATTATTTAATATATTATTATAAATTTTATAAATTTTAAATAGGTTATTCTAACAAACCTAATAAATTTTTTTCTAAGTTCAAGTCTGTCCTATTTAATTAATTAAACTTTTTAAAAAGCCTAAATTAAGCCTATTAATTAAATAGATTAGAGTGGACTAGACTTTAAAAAGGTTAGGCAATCCTCTGTGTACAATTTAACCTATTTTTATTTCTATTTGTTAGTTTTATTGTCTTTGTCAAATTTTTATAAATATAATTTTTTATATTTTTAAAATGATATAAAAAAAACCTTTATTTTAAATAATATTACAAACAAAAGTGTTTTGTTTGAGATTAAGAAAGTAATATATGATTAATAATTTCTTTATATATCTCTTAATAATTATTTAAGTTTCAAAATTTTAAAACAATAATTCAATATTATTGACATTATTATTATTATTATTATTATTATTATTATTATTATTGAGTTTTGTTTGATATTTAGTTATGGATAGAGCATAATTGAGTATAATAAAATAAAATAGAATTGAATGAATTTAAAATACTACTCCATTATTTGGATATTCATAAAATGCCTAAATAAATTTTTTAATTTTAGATTTTATAAATTATTTAACTTTATTTTCTCTTAAAGGATTTTTTATACTTTTGATTGTTATGTTTTTATAAATTTTTATTATTGATGTAGTTGATAAAAAAAAACTGCACATATCAATTTTTAATTAAATCACATTAGTTATGTAAGACTAAAAATAAAATTTTCTAAAAAGATAAATAATTAAAAAATATTTATAAATACTAAATAAATTTTTTACTAAAATATAAAAATGAAAAATATATTCAAACCTCTTATCAAATAATCTATATTCTTAAAAAATACACGAAATGAGATATAATTTATGTCATTATTTATCATTTCATTTGATAAAGAATATTAGTAAAAATATTATTTTTTATTGATCAATATTTTAAAGTTTTAAAATAATTATTAATTTACAAGACAAGTATTTAAAAATCATTAAAATTATTATTAATATTTTTCTACCCAAAATCCAACACAATCTTATTTATAATATAAAAAGTATATTACTAAAATCATCTTGATTATTTATAATATTTCATAAGGCTTAATTATAATTTTTAATTTTATAAAAGTAACATTATTTATAATAATTTTTTAAAGTTTTTTTTTAAGATTTAGTTGTAAGATTTAATCTTTGCCATCAAGTTAAATGATAAGATGGCTTACAAAGATTCAGCATATTACTTTCATGTGACAATCTTAAACTCATGGCACTACTTAACCAGAAAAAAGATTTGTTGAAGTGAAAAAACTTGATAAATTAGATAAAAATTAATATTTGTAAAAAAGTCTTTAGAAATATCAATATCTAAATTGTAACACCTTAAATTTAATTTTTAAAATAAATAAATAAATTTTTCAATAAGTAGGAATAAATAAAAATTTTCATTCAATTAGTTCATAATACATTGTTTCAATAAAGTCTCTTAAAATAAGGATAGATTATAAGTTTGAATCAAATCAATACTACAGGACTAATTTAAAGATATTAGAATTTTTAAAATAAATTTCTAAGTCCTATAGCAGTTTCATCTATCCTTTCACTGAACCCGGTGCTAATCGTATTGGTCACCTAAAAAATAAACGTAAGGGTGAGTACTCTACACTATCAAATACGCATAAGCATAAAGATTCACCTCGTATACTTCCATACATTTCCAACATAATTTAAATCATTCATCAACAAATACAAAGTAATAATTTAAATATTTCATTCTTGTTTATATACAAGTGCGCTCACTGCACCATCAAACAATCCATACACGCATGTGCGCTCACTACACGTTGGCTATGCTCACTGTCGCAATGTGATAACAGATTTCTAATGCCCTCAACTTTAAGGACTTACTCAGTTCACACCATGGATGGTCGCCGGATAGCTCCCACTCCACAGATACAACGTGTGTCGTACTGAGCCTTTGAGCAAAGGTGTTGTTAGAGGTCGAGTCAGGAGGAGAGCGTGTAGTCTGTGATACACCCATACTCACTGTTGGTATCATCACCACCCTCTCTTTCCTAAGGTATTTCTACCGCCCCCATCTTCCACATCTCGAGTGTATCGCTGAACCATTTATAGTTGTCCAACCAATTCAAACACAATCATACTCAGAATGCCATCACACATATTCTCTCCCCATTTCATAATATCTAATATCAATCAACAACATGTCTAAGCATTTCACCCACATTATCAATTACATTATGACATTCAATTTCACCCATGACACGTCTGCCCACATTCAATCACATTATACTTAAACATCAAATCTCATCAAAACTCCATTACAATCAAATTGCTACATCACACACATTATGCTCAATATCCATCACACTATAACCTACGCAATTCTTTCACCGCAAATCTCAATACAATCAAGTCATTTTCGTTAAAGCACTCATCTTCTAATATTCCAATCATTCCTATTCACAAACATAATCATACAAACGAATTCTAAGCATAAAGAGATAGGGTAGAGTCCCCTCTTACCTTAGAATGAAGACCCAACACAAAACTCAACAATGGAAATGCTCCCCACACAGATTTCATCCTAGGTACATGAAAGAATTCCATGAGAAACCAAAAAGAGCCGAGAAAATAAAGAATAGAGACGAAAACCAAAATCCTAGCCATCAAAACTTATCTCCAAACGTGATTTCAGCTTTCAATCTTGCTTACTAATGGCTTTGAAGGCAGTTTAATCGGTGAAAACGAGTCAGGAGTTGAGAGAATTAAAGAGATTTCAAAGAGAGGAATGAAAAATGAATTTTTCAAACCTTAAAACCCTCAAATACCCTTTTGGTCGTGATATTCTCGCTATAGCGAGATATCTCATCTCGCTGCAGCGATATCCCCTCTTGCTATAGTGAAAATATTAGAAAAATTATACTCTAATTTTTGCAAAATTTCGCTACAGCGAGACCCTCTCGCTACAGTGAGACTACACTATTCTCACTACAGCGAGAGGCTCAATAAAAGTAGTACTTTTATTCATATCATATATTCATATCATCACATACATCAAATACACATTCAAATAGAACTCCACAATTTATATTAATATATAAAATATCATTACAAAATTTGGGGCGTTACACATAACAAAGTAAATAAGGATTCTAATGGTGAACACAAAGAGAATGCAGCCAATGACGATGATGTTAAAGAGGATGAGAAAGCCAATGTGGGAATAAAGAAAGATGGAGAAGGGTTGAGCAAGGGAGACAAGAAATGAGAAGAAGGCATATCCCTAAAGAAAGGGGATTAAGGTTCTAGGAAACTTTTTTTTAAAATATTTAAAACGCGTTTAAGGACTTATTTATAAATATTAAATTTAAATAATAAAATATTAAAATAATAAATAACATGGCAGTGACATGGTAATAATAAATTGAACCTTTGTGAACTAATTCATCATTTAATGAAAAAGATTTAACAAAAAAAACTAAATTTTAGCATTTAATAAAAATCAAGGGTTAAATCTTAACAAAAACTTTTTAAAAACTTATAACAATAAGTACTACTTTTATAAAGACTAATAAATCTAGATTTTGACATGCTCTTAAAACATATATTTATGTGTGATTATTATTTTATTAGTATTTTACATTAATTATTGTATTAATTGTGTAATTTAGTATAAAAAATCACAATTGAGTTTTTGGTATATTTTGAGACAAAATTGGATGGAAAATAGGGCTTCGTCGCATCCAGTAGGCTCATACCCTAACAACCAACACAAGAGTGCTTTGTCGTGCATATTGCTTTGCATAGTCGTGCTCATGTGCAAAAAGTCAAATTTCGAAGAAATATTAAAATTTTGAAACTCTATTAAAGGAATTCAAAGAGCAGTCACTTAAGCATCTTTTTTCACCTTTCTAACATGGCTTTTTGACATCTTTAATCTTGGTATTATCCAGTTGCTGACGGTTATTGGAGCTTTGGGAGCACGTCTTAGAAGTAAGAGCTCTCTCTATCTCTTCTCCATTGGAGAATCCTTTAGTTTGCATTTACCTTTGAAATAACTATGGATCAGTTTATTATTATTGGGCTTTTCTATCACGGTGAATCCCTTGCATTATATTTGTATGTTCGAAAGTGACAATTTTCAAACATTAATTAATTATATTGTAGGCAACCATATTACAGATAGTTAATAGATCTATTGGGTAAAATTAAACAAATGATTAAGTGAATCAAACTTAGTTCTTCTCCTTCAATTGTTATTAAATTAATATTTCATAGGCTCTTTATGCTTTCTCTTCCATTTACTTGCATGACCATTGGGGTAATAACTTAGGAAAAATGTTATTAGCATTATTGATGCGATATCTAAAATGTCAAAGTATGCCAAATTCTTAAAAGAAATCTTAAGTAACAAAACAAGGCTAAACAAGCGCAAGCTTGTAAACTTAAATGAAGAATATTTAGCTATAGTCCTTAGAAAACTTTTGCTAAGTTTAAGGACCCATGAAGTTTTACTATCCCTTATACCATTGGAAAAACTTATATTGATGCAACATTAACCTTATGCCATATTTTGTTTCCAAGAAACTTGGAATGGATAAACTTAAACTAACCTCCGTGTTACTCAGTTGATAGATAAGTCGATCATATACCTTAAAGGTATAGTGAAAATGTGCTTGTGAAGGTTGGATATTTCATATTTCTTGTTGATTTTATGGTGCTTGACATGGAAGAGGATGATGAGAATCCCATTATCTTAGACGGACTTTTATTAGCTACTGCAAAACCATCATAAATGTTCAAGAAGGAAAGCTCACTTTAATTTCATATTTTTTTAAATTTAAAAAAATAAATTAATTTTTTTTATAATTAAAAATAATTTTTATATGAAGCAATACTTTAAAAACTTATTTTATAATCATTTATTATTTTTCAACAGATACACTTATTCATGAAAAAAATAAAAAACATAATTAAACTTATTTCATAATAACTCGAATCATTCTTTTTTTGCGTAAAATACTTGCTAGTAATTAAAGTAAAGACAACGTTCATCTTCCTATATTTTCTTCTACCCAGCTTTTGCCCTTTTCAATTTCGTTGCTCATTTTTTTTCAACCTTTTATTTGCATACCTAATGAATATTTTGAATTGACAATTCAATTTTTTTTCAAGTAGAAAATTTATTAAAATAAAATTTATTGTTTATTATATATACATATATTAGTTAAATTGATATAATATCGAAGGTGCCCAAGTATTCGGAAATGTCACATTTTGTTGGTTCCATTAACCTTAATTTGTCAATTTTTTTTAATTCAATTTTTTATCAATTATTTTTTAGAAATGATATAAAAAATGAGAAACTTTTAAATCAATAATGTTATTGAAAAGATGCTTTGTTTCAGGTGATGAAAGTATATATCAAAGGCTTGCATAAAATATTTTTTATTATTATTTTGGATTTGACTGTATATCTATTTCCTAAGAGTTCTGTTATTATTAGTTTGTTTCTTTACAAACTTTACGAAAAGGTTAGATTATTGATTATTCAGTACTGAATGCCCCAACCTGAGTAAGATAGATAAGGACATACCACTAGTCATGTCTCTAAAATATTATATATATATATATATATATATATATATATATATATATATATATATATTACAAAATTATGTTTTGACACCTAATGGGGTGTAATAACAACAGTTGGTTTAGAAAAAAATAGAAAAAAGTAAAGAAAAAGTATTAAATATATTGTGTGACTTGATAAAAATAAATAAATAAAGAATGGATATAAAAATAAGGTGTAGAAAAATCAAAATTATTATACCAAGATTAAAAGTTTATGACAAAACTTAACTATAATATTATATGTACTGTTACTATTTTTTTTTTTATTAGTTAGAGTTTATTTTTTTTTAATAATTTGTATAGTAAAAGTTCATATATTAGCACTAAATCTAATTCTAATTAAAAAAATGTTACTAAATTATCGACCTAAAATTTGTCCTTAGGTTTAACGGTCAAAAACTTGGCTTGAAAGAATGGATTTACTTTTTGCTGTTCTCAATTTCTATACATAAATATCTTTAGTAGCCGTCTATTGAAGTCTATGATATATATGTTTTAGCCTTTTAAAGAAAACATCTCCATTTTTATTAAACTTCATATTTTTTTAATAAGTGCATTAAAAGAACATGTAATATATATTATGAAATGTTATTATGCAGTATTTACAAAAGTAAAAATTTAATTTTTATGTTTTTAATATAATAAACATATTTTTACTTTTCTTTTAGAAATTAGTTATATATTTCATTAATCGGTATCTTTAAGTTATTATTAAAAAATAAAAAATAATAAATTTTAATTAAATATTGAGGTTAGATTGCATTGAATATTATAGTAAAATGTGCAGGTGACACGTTTCTATAAAATCTTTCTGTTTTTAATTATTTAATCAATATTTTAAATAATTAGCATTCTCCATTCTAAATTTTAATGCTTTCAATAAGACACTAGTTGACCAGATTTTTCATTAGTTACTATTTGTCTTTTTGAAAGAATTAAAATTTGTAAATTTGGTGTTATTAGAAATTTTACTTTAGATAAATTATCATATATTATTTAATAGTTTTCATAATAATATATTGTGGGATAAAATATAGACGATTTTAAACTGATTTGCATCAAAATTAAACCCTTTGGTGAAATAAAAAAAATATTAAAGATAATTATGATAATAATGGATACGTAAACAGTAATTTCATTTCATTTGGACTTTAACCTTTGTCGCGTGAAGGAAGTGAAAAAGTTTCTCCTTGTATTATTGGATTCTGACTCTCTCTCAATAAGTATGCATTTGATGATATTATTTTTCTGTCCCACGGATTTATGTCTAACCTATTGTTCACACATTAGCACACAATTACTCAATAGTTTCAGACAAATCTTACGCTTTTCAAAGTGATTATTATTCAACTAAAATTGAATGTATTTGAGGTCAGTGTATATTTAAATAATAATGTAGAAACTTTTAGAGGGTCTTTCTTGACCCAAAACATTATAAATTAAATTTAAAACTAAATTTGTAAAAAAAAAAAAAAAAACTACTTTATAGACTATACTTTTAAAGATTTGATATTGGCTGCATGTATAATAGAGTTTCATTAAATGAAACAAAATCTACTTTAGTGATCTTTATATTTTTCAGAAAGATAGTATTTTATTATTGATGGAGAGGTATCCTTGATAATTAGTATATGCAAAAGAAAATTTCCTTTGAGAAATGGATAGATATATGACTGAAATAATCGATCAAAATGTACAGACTCGGGAAAATATATTTATAATTTATATAATATGAGAAGCTAAGAACCCTATTCATTTAGCTTGGTTTAGGCCTCTGAATGTCTTAGATATTGTTGCAATAAGCACGAGATAAGTGTAGGAAATTATACAACATGAAATCAGCTGTGAGAAGATAGAGACCTGAAGTCCTGAACCTATTTTTTTATTTTATTATTATTGGATGCCAAAACCTTTATTTATGACAAGAGAATCAAACCACATACGATAAAAGATTGAATCGAGGAAGGCCCACAAATAATGAAATTAGTTTCAAACATTAATGGCGACTAGAACATTTTGTTAACGTTGACAACTAAGGATTTTGATTACCTGGTCGAGAAAATCATTAACTACCAAAATGGATATTTAAGTACTACTTCAATAAATACTTGTACGTTACGGGTATCTGTTGGGTGACACGGATGGATTCTGAGATGGACAATTCTTAAGCTGCTATATATACTTTAAGTTTTTTTTTTTGGTGTGTTTTTATCAGTTTTAATATTTCATACAATATAAATTAATATTTAAAATTGAAATATTTGAATAGTGAGATAAAATTATAGCTAAATTAAAAATAATAATAAAACTACTTGAGTTATCTCACTTAGATTTTGTTCTTTATTCTTATTTTTTATAAACTTTTCTTTAAGATTTTGTTTTGAACATGACTCCCTTATCATAACATTTGATGGGTTCTTATAAAAATAGTCAATAACTCCCATAAGTATTGTTCAACTTACTTTTGTTAGTTTTATGATAAAACTTATTAAATAAATTATTTTCAATTTATTCTAATTAAATTTAAAATTTAATTTATAACATATGTTTTAATATGATAAAAATCTAATTGAATATCCACCAAATTAAATTATTTATATAAATGCACCCTAAATTTTAATTTATCAAGAAGAAAATAAAATGACAATTAGGAAGAGAAGACAGAAAATGTTGTACCCTGCTCGTTTTATCACACTTGTATGTTATAATCCGATCCCGCAGTTGAAAACAACTGCTGAGAATTTCCAGCGCTATTATTTTTATACATTAAATAATTAAATGAAACATAGTATAAAGAAATTAAACGGTGAATTGGACCCTGTAGTTTAATTTCAACTACAGGGGATCGTGTTTTAATCCTCTTAATAATATGTATAGTAACATAAAAAATAGGGCACGCTCAAGCGGGCTCAAATGGAAACAAATGCAGAAGAAACAAAATTACCCCAACGAATTTATGAGGTCTTTAAAATTGAAAACTAGCCAATCAGCTTTTGCAGCAACAGATTCTCGTAGTTGAACACCCGCATAGCAAATGAACAAGTCGGCACCACCTGCTCCACGCGCCTAGATGTGGGTAAAATATTATGATTCAGATTAGAGGTTATCATAACATTATTATTAGAGGGTGCTTCAACAAACCCCTAAGTCTACTCATAAAACCGCGCTTAGAAATGAGATATTTAACAAAATTACGGGGAAATATGCAGAGGTTTTTTCTTACCTCAAAATCAGTTGCACCATCCCCCACCATAGTTAACGTTTTGTATCCATGAGCCTGAAAATCTGTTGTATCAGCTATACAAGCAATGCAATTAATGGAAAAATGTTGACAAGCAATACAAGCTTCACCTTCTTGATTTGTTGGACAGCAACAGCTTTTCCTCCACTTCTTGAAGTTGGCTCATTTTTATCGAACCCCAGAAACTCTCCAGAGCTTCCAAAAAGTAGTTGATTGGCAAAAATGTTCTCTTGTGGAATCCCAAGTATTGATGCAACAGGCTTCATAAGAATTGTCCTTAATAGTTAGAAAAATGAATTATATAATTTGTTATCCTTTAAATAGACCATATAAAAAATTAATGTCACAACAGCATATATTAAAATTGAGATTTAGTTGTATTCAGCAAAAGGTATGTGTTAAAAACTAAGATGCTAATCTTAAAGATTTATGGACTTGTACAAGTTCACAAGTAGCATATATGAAGTTAAAGAAAGTCTATCCAAATTTCACATGTAACAGTAACTATTGATTTCCTCCTCCAATCCCAAAAATAATATATAAAAATCAGTAATTACAATTTCCCCTCACATTTATCATTTGGCGGAAGCCCCCCGAGATAAGATAAACATGCATGCCCGTAGCCTTTATCTTCTGGACTAACTCTTCAATGCCAGGGGAAAGCCTACATAATAAGAACTAGAATCATAAACATTGTTCCAAATCCATCTGAAACAAACAGTTCAGAATTCTCATTGGAGAAACAGAGAACAGAAGGTAAAGAAAAAGAGAGTAAACAGTTAAAGCTTCGGTGATGAAACCTTGTGTCTCATCAAAGTTTAGGCTTGGTTTTAATTATAGTTCAATGAATTTTATACATCATTAGAAGTGACAGGGTATCAAGTATAGGATATTGTACGTTTTTAATAATTGAATTATTATTTGATAACAACTAAAATATATTTTCAGTATAAAGGAATATAATTTTTGGTTTTAGAAACCATGCAGCATTTCTTGTTAGGGGGCAAAAGCTAATATACCTTAAAGTACAAGGTGACAAAAAAAAAGCATTAGGTAGGGGAAAGCATATCATTTATCTGAAATTTGGTAACTGCTAGTAAGGTTTCACATGGCATCTTAGAGGAGACTGACTAAACTCTTGATTCAGCCAATCTAACCCTGCACTTTATCCTTGTTTATCAGTTTCAGATATGGATGGATTCGTCAAACAGGCATATAAAACTGGCCTTGGTAGTAAATGGTAATTTAGTATACATCTAACATCATTTCTCAAACAAATACATGCACACAAATAAATAACGATACTGCAAAGTGTTGAATAGTGATATTGCCAGAATGAATTGGCACTGGTCAATACTCTTGGATAGATAAGTGAGCAATACCAATTGACTAATCAACTAACCATTCTTGAATCTTGGTAAACTCTGGCCAGATTCTGTCATGTTTTTTGGTTTTGTATAATTACTCCATACAGAAATGCTAAAAATACAATACTGTCAAATTAAAGGCGTAAGGCAAGAATAATTGACAGAAATCACAAGGAATTCCCAGGTCACTTTTGTCACCATTACAAGCCAAATTGAAAGCAAAACACGCATGCATTAAGTAATCAAATTCAATTGTGTTTGTTTAAAAGTAGAAAAATAATTTGTGTGCTTTCCAATGAAAAGAACTAGTTTAGATTAATTTATGCATATGTATCAATCACATTCAATGGTTCAAAATCAATTCTATCCATGTTTAAACCAAACAACCATAACATCATTTATCAAAATGTAAGGGTTTTCCTAACCAGTGCTCTAAGGGCACTAATTTAGGAATCAATATATAGTAAATTTTTAATGGAAATCATGTTAGAATGAAGTAAAAACATGGGAGTGAGTTCATTTTTTATTACTTAAACAAGTAAGGCCAGTGGTTAAACATTTTCCAAATGTAAAATCTGCTATAGTCAATAGTTGAAGACACCTGACAAAATCAGCCGGATTTAGTCATACCTTGGGGGCTTTTGCTCAAGAAAATTCTGAAGCTGAGACAAAGAGGGATTGAACAAAGACAGTCTAGCAGCCAAGGCCTCCTCAAATGGAACAGAACCCCCCATTGCTCTATGAAAAATTCAATACTCAAATCAGACATCATAAACTACCAAAAGAATTAAAGAAAAAACATTTTTTGTTTGTTTGAGAATTTACTATTAAACAATCCAACCTAGCAGTCCATTCAGCAACAGCCTTGCCAGCCCCACAGAATTCAGCAAGCTCATCGATCCCTTCATCAATACACACAGTGCTATCCACATCAAAGCATACAGCATCACCATTCCTCCAAACCTCAAGAACCTCTACCATTACCAACAACACCATTTCACAATTCCACAAAACACAAAGCACACAACACTATTTCACTATCTCATGTACAGAAATAAACATTTAAACCTTTGGAAGGAAGCGTATTCTCAAAATGGACCACTTTGTTGCCCCCAACAGAAGCAGCAGAAGCCATCACCACGAAACACTGCTTCTTCTTCACAACCCCAATTCCAATTCCACAGTCACTCTTCCTCAGATGCAACGTAGATGCTGTAAGAAAACGAGATTGGCGCTTTCCAACGCCAAAAACACGAACCGGGTTGATCCCAGAACTCACCAACCCTTCCATGGAACTTTCTGTATTCCAAATCCAGTGACAACAAAAGTTGAAATGTTAAAAACCCATAAGAGAATAAAGGGTACTAGAATCTTGGATCAAAGGGTATGTGTGAATGTTATTGCGTACCTGTGGATTTAAGAAATACCGTTTGAAGGCGCGTGGCGAAAATCAGAGAGGGGTGGTTGGTGAGGTTCAAGCTCAGAGATTACAGCACTAGACAAACTCAACTACCTTGTATCGTATGTAAAAGCATGAAATGGAATAAAGTTTTTGGCTTTTATTTTTATTTTCTTTTGGTAAAGATGTTATTTTCTCAACCGTCGAGTGTTCGTAAAGCCAATCACGATTTTTGGGGAAAACAAAACAGAGGAGGTTACTATGAATTGTAAACAGAGTATATAATTATACATCGATTTTTAATATAATTAAAGGTATATTGTAATTTTAATTTATTAAATGATTAAAAAATATACTTTTAAGAGAGAGATTAAATTCAATAATTTTTTAAAATGTAGAAATTAAAATAAATATTTTTGTAATCAAATCAAAATACAGTGCATTTTAAAAGATTAAAAATATATTTAACTAAATTTTTTTAATTTCAAAATCAGGAGTTCATTAAAAAAAATAATAGTCATAACCTTAATGCCCTTGAACTTGAGAAGAATTGCATTATGAGTTAAAAGAAATTTAAAATTATTTTATTATTAGCTAGTTTTATTTTATTTTTTAATTATTGAGAAGAAATTAAAGGCTTCACAAATTATAACTCTGTAACACAATTAGTAGATTCTCCAAGCAGAGGTGAGTATTAATTGGATATGCAGAAATCTAATTCATATATATATATATATATATATATATATATATATATATATAATAAATTTAATTATATAGATTAAATTTTAAATTAATCAATTATATTTTTTAAAAAATTGATTTTAAATTCAGTAAAATATATAATAAATATTTAATATTATTATTGAATTATAATATTAAAAATAATTAAATTCTATAATAATTAGTATAAAATTATATTTTCATATATTTTAATCAATTAATAATATATATTTTTTATATTTATATTATATTAAAATTAAATTCATATTTTTTTATTTTACATTGTTTATCCATCATACAAATTAAATAATAAATAATTAGTTTTTTTAATTAAAGCTATATAAAAAATGTGAGTAGTATAATTTTTACTTTTATTTATTTTTTAAAATTATCTTAGTCTCCTTTTTATTTAGTTTTATTTGTGATGAAATTAAATCTTGATCCTAAATAAAAAATATATTTAGAACACTATTTTAATAATAAAATGTTGTTAACAAATATTTAAAAGTATTAGTTAAAAGTTTTATTATATTTTAAATTAGTGAATATATATATATATATATATATATATATATATATATAAGTGTGGTTATGATCTAATAGAAAAAAAATGTAATTATAATTTTTTGATTTGATTATTAAAGTTTATTCATTCTCTTACCAACCACATGAGATATTTTTTTGAAGAAAGAGAAAGACACATAATTTTTATTTAACAAAATTAATTTTTTTAAAAATATTTCTTTTTAACAGTAATGTCGAATAAATTACTATTATGATAATATAATATTATATAAAATATTTTCTTTATTTTTAAATTTTTTTGTCTTTCTATTTATTTTAAGGTTTTTTTTATCAATTCATGAAACAAAATATATTATTTTTTTATTAAAATCATATGCATCTTTCACTAAAATTATATTTAAGTGTAATATCCTATCTATAATTTATATTTATATTTTTTGTTGAATATATAATTTAAAATAAAACATAATTAAAATTGTAAAGGATTTGGAAAGTTTTACATTTATACGAATCTAAACTAATAAAAGTTAATAAAATTTTAAAATTTGATTCATATATATATATATATATATATATATATATATTATTCATAATAGAAATACAAATGCATTTTTATAATTTAAATTTATAATTAAAGTGAAAGTTAAAATTTTATTTTATATATATAATTCAAATTCACAATACAAACAAAATTGTCTTTCAATCAATTAAATTTCTAACTAATATTACACAGACACCTTAAATTATTATTTACAATATAGGATTTATCAAAACATTATGAATTCTAGATGAAAATTTAATTAATATTATTACATTCCTCAAAATAAACTAAATCCTAAGAGAGCAATTATCTTTCTTACATTCCATTGAAAGTATGATTCTAGGATAGGTCCATCTTGTTTTTATCTTTTCATTACCTAAAAATGTTTATAAGAGTGAGCATCCTCCGCTCTACTAAATTTCTATTTTATAATATGTTGGTGCTTTTCCTTCAAACACAACAAGTGTATTGAGTTTGTTGCAAGTAATAACCGGTAGAGTACCAGAATATCGTCCTCAGAGAGCAATTCAAATGTATTAATTAATAAGATACAAAATAATTGAGTTTATATACAATAGAATTGGTGAATAATTTTCATGAAATATTAAACAACAATTAAGATGTAAAGCACTAAGGTAAACTATGGTAAAATTCAAGTTAAAAAGCTGGGATTGAATTTCATCTATCTTCCCCTCTATATACTAGTAATTCAGTGATAAATATAGCAATCACTTCCAATGAATTTGATGCAAAACACAAAATTCATATATTTCAATTCCTTGAAAATATATTCCTAAGATAATTTCTTAGATGTTGATTCCTCAAACATTTAATAAACTATCCAACATTAAAATCAGAATTTAAAAGCAATCAATAACTTGAAATCTATTCCTAGAACAACCAATTATTGAGTAATCTCAATCAGATCTAGATCTAAATAATATCTTCCCAAATACAACTCATATATGAACTCCAGAAATTGTTAAATAACTAGATTCAACCATTAAAACGGATTGAGACACCAAATCATTAGAAATGAAGAAGAAACAACTATATTTATATAGATTACTGAGAATACATCAGGTTTGAAGATTTACGTTCAATCCCATACAAGGTTTAGCTGCTCATGGCAACCATATCAACAAAAATGGAGATACAAAGAGAGAAAACATCAAAAACTGAGTATTCCTACCCTTTTTCTTTGCCTTGCGCCGTTCTGGACCTCTAGATATGTTTTTGAAACGGTAACCCCCTCCAAACATAAAAGTTTTCCTTTTATACAGGTCAGCTTAAGCTCCTCTCGCTATAGCGAAAGTCCCTTGCTATAGCGAGAAACAGAGATAGAAATTAGGTCATTCTGTTTGCCTTTCGCTGCAGCTAGGATTCTCGCTATAGCGAGAAGAACACAGAATCACCCTCTTCACAATAGCTTTTCTCACTGCAATGAGTGTGTCTCGCTACGAGAAACCTCCAGAAGCTGACTTTTCTGCAACTTCATGCTTCAATTATTCCTCCTCTAACTTTTTCTAATCTTTTTCAACCTCAAGTGATGTTTCTTTTGTGATTCCAGCTGCAAAATAGATCAAAAAGAGCTTAAAACCATAAAATTGCATTCATTTCAAAAATAATATATATGTATTTGTAAAAGTTCCAAGTTTGAAGGAAATTTAACAAAATAATCCAACTTTTAACATAAAAATTATTTAAGTCACCATCTCAAATCATTTATTTTATACACTTATCATAATACAATCAAAGTAATGCAGAAAATATTTTCTAATACATCATGCATCAAAATAGAATCAATTCATTTTCTTTTTACAATTCTAACCATAAATCATTCATATATCTCATGTCATACTTAATTCAATACAATCATTCAATCATTGAGCTTATGCCACTTTATTCATTTCAATTATGAAAGATTCATCAAATAACAACACTTTATGTACTCAATGGCCCCTACATTGCTACCAACATACTCTTTGTAGTTATGTAGGACTTACGCCAGCATGGATAGTCGTCGGTTAGCCACGACACATGCATACAACATATGCATTATACGAGTCTCATAGCAAATGTATAGTTAAGAGTCTAGTAAGGAAATGAGTGTGAGACCTTTAAATGCTTTCACTAACAATTGTGTATACATAAACTATTAGCATTCATCACCCTCATTTTCTCCAGATTTTTTAAATTGCCTTTAGACTCTATACCCCCAGTGTTTCTCTGAACTATCCATATGAAAACTTAATAGTGGCACACTAAAATCATACTGTTTACACCAATACTATCTTAATACATGTGTTACAATCACACTAATTAATATGTTACAACATATGTATTATAATCTCACTTGTTAATATATTATAACACATATTATAATCACACCAATTTGTGTTTTTATGACACATGTAATAGTTACTCCTTTTTCTTTATTTACATTTTCTCAGTAATTCACAGATATTCACACCAATTCTTTTCATTAGTTTTAATCATAACATCCTTTCTCAGAATTCAATTAAGTAAGTTATGTATAAGGGCACACCCATGTAGACTAACTCTAAATCACACATTTATAATAAAATACCCTTCATTATTCAATGATAGCCAAACCATTTGTATTAATATTTTACAACAATTAAACTTCTCATTTAAACATATATGTATAAAACAAGAAATACATCATCATACAATCCAATACAATGCGCTGAAGGTTGGATACCTTCAGACTCGGACCAATCGCATGATTCAGAAGTAAATTATTAGAGATCACATTCTCTCGGTCTTAATAAAGTCTTCTAGCCTAAAGTTTAGCATCTTATACTTTTTCATTACCCAACAAATATATCATCCAAAAGTAATTGTCTACATTATCAACAATATATATATATATATGATGAGTAATATGCTTATGAAAACTTCTTGAAACTCTTTCTTGCTCATAACTTTTACTGAAAAACTTAGGTTTAATTGATTATTAAACAATCCAAAGCTTTTTCATACTCAAAACTCTATTTCTAGCATTTAGTTTTAAAGAAAACTTTATAGATTTTCTTATTTAAATAAAATAGTTAGGTCTTTCAAATCAATACATAAAAGTAGAATTTATGTTTGGGATCAACTCTCCTAACTTGGAAATAGGTCTGTGAGACTAAGTTCTTTGTGAGATCTAGAGAGAAACTCAATGTGTTTACAGGAGATATTACCCAAATACCAAAGTTCTTTATAAGAATAGAGAATAGAGAAATAGGAGTGAGATTCAAAGCTAACCTCCAGAAACTTACTTAGATTTGAGTGGAATAGACATTTGAGTTCATATCTGAGGAATATTTAGAGTTCGATGATGTTTTCTCTAA